GAAAGAATTGGAAGTCACAGTCTAGAGTAGGAAAAGATCAGTGTGCTTGGTGCAAGGAGACTGGTCATTGGAAGAAAGACTGCCCAAAGCTCGACGAATGGATGAAGAATAAGCAGAAGGGAAAAGGGAAGCAACCATCATCAGAAGCAAACATCGTATCGGATGGTAATAATTCTGACTCTTCTATTTATTCGCTTTCTATCAGTCCTACAGATAGCTATTCGGAGGAATCTGAATGGATGTTGGATAGTGGTGCGACCTATCATGTGTGCCCTAGAAGGGAATGGTTCTCCAGTTTTGAGAAGCTGGTGGATAGTGGTGTGGTGTACATGGCTGATAACCGTGCATGCCAGATCCTTGGGATAGGAAGAATTCGCATAAAGATGTTTGACGGGACTGTTAGAGAGTTAAACGATGTGAGATATGTTCCTTCTTTGAGGAAGAACTTGATCTCGATTGGAGCTTTGGTTGGAGAGGGTCTGAAGGTTCGTGTTGAGGACATGGTTCTCGAGATTGCGAGAGACTCTCGTATTTTGATGAAGGGCGTCAGGAGAAATAACCTGTATTACTTGACTGGAGGTATAGTGGCAGGTGGAGAGCTGACGACTTCTGTTGATTCGACTAGACTGCGGCATTTGGGGCTTGGCCATTCCAGTATTGATTCCTCGCATAGATTGAAAGAGGGTGCAAAGACCTGCAGTTTGAAGTCCAGTGAACATGTTGATGTGAGCAAGAAGACCGAGGTGAAGTGTGGCACCTCTATTCACCGTGCTAAGGGTCGTTCTGGAGGAGTTCACGTGGATGTTTGGGGGCCTTCCAAGGGGACATCATTGGGAGGTAATAGGCGTTTGGTTTCCTTTGTTGGTGGCTGTTCTAGGCGTGTTTGGGTTGCAACCAAATCCCCTTTGGAGAAAGTCCTAGTAGTTTCCAACAGATTGAAGAAGTGTGTAATAGACAGAAAGGTGAAGGTACTCCATTCTGGTGGGAGGTACAAGATGGACCTATTTCTGTATTAGAGCCGAGCTCACGGTATTTCGAGACACTTCGTTGGAAAGAAAATCTTGGGGCAACTAGATAGGGTGACAAATTTGGAAGACCGTGCCTTGCTGGAGGAGGATCAGTGTTTGTGGTCGAGCAATGGTTTGCAGAA